CTTGTTACTCTAGTGTACTGGATGATCTAACCCTGTCTCACTCCTCTCTCTGGAGTCAGAGGTTCGATGTTGATGAGTTCAGCTCTGACTCAGGGCCTGTGAGAGAGGACAGTTAATCTGATAATGACATCATCTCTGTGACTCTGAGTCTGTGTCTGTCTTAATCTCTATCCTCTCGACCTCTTCTCCCTCCCCCCATCTCTCCAACCCTCTCTCAGTCACTCCCTACAGTCCGTACTGGGTGGTGAGTACTGACTATGTGAGTGGAGCGGTGGTGTACAGCTGTACTGACGTGTTAAGGATTTTCCATGTGGACTACGCCTGGATCCTGGGACGCTCCCGCTTCCTGCCCGCTGAGAAAGTAGAGTATGCCAGGCAGCTGCTGGCTAAAGAAAACATTGACACCTTCAAGATGAGTGTTACCGACCAAACGGGTTGCGACTAGATGGAGGTTCAGAGGTCAGCGGTTAGGGTTTGTAGGGTCAAAGGGTTATTTATGTGTCCAATTACCTTGCCCTAATGCCATAGACACTTCTCCCCTACTCCCAATGCCCTATCCCCATGTCATTTCAGCCCCACCTCTATAGATACAGACAGAAATACAACGACTATCAAATACTAGACCTAGTATCCACCTCTAGTGTCTAATAGTTTATATACACTGACAAAACAGTTGGTCTTATAATCTTACCATCAAACATATTACTACCTACCATCTCATTTCGACTATCTATCACATGTATTTTATATTTAGAGACTTTATGATCTGTAGTTGGAGATCTGTTAGTTTATAAATGTGGTTTGATTGATTAAATGTCTAGCTACACAACGATGGGGATGGTTGCTTCATGGGATGAATAGAATGCTGACAGCATGAGTCAGTTATCTGGCCTCAAACTGAAGACATGGGGTTTCTGTATATTATTAATTAAAGTTTGGTTTTGAAATCAGACTGATGATTGTTTTTTCTTCTGCAACAGTGGTTAGATTGCGTGTGGAATAAACAATATCTACTGTTCCCTCCTGAGCGTCTAGTCAAACAGCAAGTACTGATATGGCCACTATAAAGCAGGGGTATCAAACCATTGGCAGTGGAAGAACAGTAAACAATCCTCAGGCAAACACACACACATACACATAGACACACACACACACACACACACACACACACACACACACAGAGAGACATGGCTATACCAGTGGGGAGAACAAGTATTTGATACACTGCCGATTTTGCAGGTTTTCCTACTTACAAAGCATGTAGAGGTCTGTAATTTTTATCATAGGTACACTTCAACTGTGAGAGACGGAATCTAAAACAAAAATCACATTTTATGATTTTTAAGTAATTAATTAGCATATTATTGCATGACATAAGTATTTGATACATCAGAAAAGCAGAACTTAATATTTGGTACAGAAACCTTTGTTTGCAATTACAGAGATCATATGTTTCCTGTAGGTCTTGACCAGGTTTGCACAGACTGCAGCAGGGATTTTGGCCCACTCCTCCATACAGACCTTCTCCAGATCCTTCAGGTTTCGGGGCTGTCGCTGGGCAATACGGACTTTCAGCTCCCTCCAAAGATTTTCTATTGGGTTCAGGTCTGGAGACTGGCTAGGCCACTCCAGGACCTTGAGATGCTTCTTACGGACCCACTCCTTAGTTGCCCTGGCTGTGTGTTTCGGGTCGTTGTCATGCTGGAAGACCCAGCCACGACCCATCTTCAATGCTCTTACTGAGGGAAGGAGGTTGTTGGCCAAGATCTCGCGATACATGGCCCCATCCATCCTCCCCTCAATACGGTGCAGTCGTCCTGTCCCCTTTGCAGAAAAGCATCCCCAAAGAATGATGTTTCCACCTCCATGCTTCACGGTTGGGATGGTGTTCTTGGGGTTGTACTCATACTTCTTCTTCCTCCAAACACAGCGAGTGGAGTTTAGACCAAAAAGCTATATTTTTGTCTCATCAGCCCACATGACCTTCTCCCATTCCTCCTCTGGATCATCCAGATGGTCATTGGCAAACTTCAGACAGGCCTGGACATGCGCTGGCTTGAGCAGGGGGATCTTGCGTGCGCTGCAGGATTTTAATCCATGACGGCGTAGTGTGTTACTAATGGTTTTCTTTGAGACTGTGGTCCCAGCTCTCTTCAGGTCATTGACCAGGTCCTGCCGTGTAGTTCTGGGCTGATCCCTCACCTTCCTCCTGATCATTGATGCCCCACGAGGTGAGATCTTGCATGGAGCCCCAGACCGAGGGTGATTGACCGTCATCTTGAACTTCTTCCATTTTCTAATAATTGCGCCAACAGTTGTTGCCTTCTCACCAAGCTGCTTGCCTATTGTCCTGTAGCCCATCCCAGCCTTGTGCAGGTCTACAATTTTATCCCTGATGTCCTTACACAGCTCTCTGGTCTTGGCCATTGTGGAGATGTTGGAGTCTGTTTGATTGAGTGTGTGGACAGGTGTCTTTTATACAGGTAACGAGTTCAAACAGGTGCAGTTAATACAGGTAATGAGTGGAGAACAGGAGGGCTTCTTAAAGAAAAACTATCAGGTCTGTGAGAGCCGGAATTCTTACTGGTTGGTAGTTGATCAAATACTTATGTCATGCAATGAAATGCAAATTAATTACTTAAAAATCATACAATGTGATTTTCTGGATTTTTGTTTTAAATTCCGTCTCTCACAGTTGAAGTGTCCCTATGATAAAAATTACAGACCTCTACATGCTTTGTAAGTAGGAAAACCTGCAAAATCGGCAGTGTATCAAATACTTGTTCTCCCCACTGTATGTGGGCAGTGGTTGTGACGAAGGTATGTGGGGAGAGGTGTATGTGTATGTGTGTGTGTGTGCATATTGGGGGACACACGTGATCTTACAACAGGATCCTGCTCCCTCATTTCTGCCGTGAGCTTTAGACTCCTCTGGACCTGAGACATACAGCACCTCTGGAACGACACACACAGGTAAAAATAACCAGACTCTTCTCATTACAACCAGGCACAGAGATGTTTGAATGTGTTGAATAGACTGGTGTTGTTGTTGTAGTTGGTTTTAGTATTTGTATAGTTTTGAGTTAGTAGTTTATAGTGTAGTTTATAGTGTAGTTTAAAGTGTAGTTTAGGGTGTAGTTGAGGGTGTAGTTTATGGTGTAGTTTCCGGTGACGTTTAGAGTGTCGTTTAGCGTGTCATTTATGGTGTAGTTTAGAGTGTAGTTCAGGGTGTTTATCAGTAAACTCTGGGCTATGCGTCTAATATGTATGTTTATTCTGTGTTTGTGTTTTCAGAAGTCAGGATGAAGTTGCTGGTTCAGCTTAGAATTCTCTTCCTCTGTCTCATCGCCTGTAAACTCACTGGTGAGTCTCTCCTCCTCCATTAAAATGATGCTGCACATAACAGTCTCTTTCTCAGCAGTGTTGTCTTACTAACTCTTACTAATCATCAGAAACCTCTGGGACACCCTCAGTTATATTATCTTCTGCTTGCTCTTCGGGGGTTTAGGCCGGGGTTGATGTTAAACATTTTACGTAAAATCTATTAGTAAATAGTGCTATATGTGTAATCCATATTAAAGTGCCATAATAAAATAGCAAATAACTATGACTAACTGGTGTATTCAGTAAGGACAGATTGCTGCATTCATAAGGTGAGGTCTGTTTTGAGTCCTGCATGTGTACAAAGAGCAATGTGTGTGTGTGTGTGTGTGTGTGTGTGTGTGTGTGTGTGTGTGTGTCTGTGTGTGTGTGTGTGTAAACCCAGTGAGGAATAATATTTGAGGAGGAAGGAAGTTTCTTAAGGTATTCCAGAGTCCTCAGAGGAGGGGCTCATTTTTCCGGACTCTCAATCGAGTCTTTGTGTGTGGAATACTTGGAACGCTTCAGAATACTAAACTCCATCTCTCCCTCTCCCTCTTACAGATGCCAGAGCCTTCACCCCTGAAGGAGGTAAAATAGGGACACACTCACACACACCTCTACATACACACAGACCTTCTGTAGCATGTACTGATAGGCTCTACTTGATTATTATATTATGTAGACTTCCTTGGGGTTGTCAGTCAGTGAGTGATGTGATGTGTTTCTGTCTGTGTCTGTAGTTCCATACGACGAGCCCCCGGCTGTCCCCTACTGGCCTTACACCACCTCAGACTTCTGGCACTACGTAGAGTACTTCAGGTCTATTGGAGCCTACAACCACATCAACGAAATGGCCCGGGCCTTCTATGCTCACCAACACTTGGGAGACACACTTGGATATGAGACCAACAAGGGACACGAACACTGAGGAGAGAGAGGAGACGGAGAGAGGGAGAGAGGGAGGGAGGGTAGAGAGAGAATAGAGAGGATGGGAGAGGGTCAGGAAGGGAGAAGAGAGGGGGAGAATGAGGAGAGGGGGATGGACGGAGGGAAAGAGGACCCATAAGGATATGTAATATTGTATATTGAAATGCATTTTTAAAATATGAGGTTATATAAACAAACATATTTTAACTTATCATGAAATATATTAATGTGTCTCACACACCTGAAAAAACATATGAATTCCAACGGATATAACGGCTATAATATAAAACGTTACATAAATGTAATGTGCAATATCAATAAAATTGGACCAGAAATTTGATCTCATTGTCATCATTTACCATATTTGATGTGGATCTTGGAAGGATTGAAAAGTAATAGGGATTTTGTGTGAGGAAGTTATAGGTTTTCCATCCTTCGGTATGTAACTCCTTTCATCACCCATCATCATCATGTACCATGTTTTACCCAAGTCTGTAGCTATACCTGGCTATCTTCTGTAGCCTACCTTCGCTTCAATCTGTACACCCAAACCACCGTTGGTTCCTTGTGAAAGTCAAGCGCATTATACTGTTATCAAAGCAGGAAGTGGTGTTACACGGAAAAGGGTCCGGTTTCTATTGTTTACGTTGATAGAAAACAGCTAGCTAGCTAATATTCATTACGATACCTAGTCAGAAACAGAAATGATAATGAAACCAGCGGTGGACGAGATGTTCCCTGAAGGCGCCGGACCTTATGTGGATCTAGACGAGGTTAGTAAGTTAATCATCAGGCGACACGAGAGACCTAGCCTAGCTACAACTTCAACGCTAACCTAGCCACCAACTAGTTAACGTTAGTGACTCGGATAGAAAAAACGCTGTCGTGTTCAACACACAGTTGTTGGGAACTTGCTACTACTAACGTTGGCTAGCTATATGTAGTAAATCTAGGTAGTTATGCATTTTGTCAGAGAGACGCTAGAAACGTGTATAACTGTAGTAGAGAGTGCATGGCGGGCGCTAGATCTGCAATATCGTCTATGCTTGATGCAATCTCTATTGCACTCCACACTGCCCTTTCCCACCTGGACAAGAGGAACACCTATGTGAGAATGCTATTCATTGACTACAGCTCAGCGTTCAACACCATAGTGCCCTCAAAGCCCATCCCTAAACTAAGGACCCTGGGACTAAACACCTCCCTCTGCAACAGGATCCTGGACTTCCTGACGGGCCGCCCCCAGGTGGTAAGGGTAGGTAACAACACATCTGCCACACTGATCCCCTCAGGGGTGCGTGCTCAGTCCCCTCCTGTACTCCCTGTTCACCCATGACTGCATGGCCAGGCACGACTCCAACACCATCATTAAGTTTGCCGACGACACAACAGTGGTAGGCCTGATCACCGACAATGATGAGACAGCCTATAGGGAGGAGGTCAGAGACCTGGCCGTGTGGTACCAGGATAACAACCTCTCCCTCAACGTGCTCAAGACAAAGGAGATGATTGTGGACTACAGGAAATAAAAGAGGACTGAGTACGCCCCCATTCTCATCGACAGGGCTGTAGTGGAACAGGTTGAGAGCTTCAAGTTCCTTGGTGTCCACATCACCAACAAACTATCATGGTCCAAACACACCAAGACAGTCGTGAAGAAGGCACGACAAAGCATATTCCCCCTCATGAGACTGAAAAGATTTGGCATGGGTCCTCAGATCCTCAAAAAGTTGCATCAGTATGGCAACAGTATGGCAACAGTATGGCAAGGTTGCATCAGTATGGCAACTGCTCGGCCTCCGACCGCAAGGCACTACAGAGGGTAGTGCGTACGGCCCAGTTCATCACTGGGGCCAAGCTTCCTGCCATCCAGGACCTCTATACCAGGCGGTGTCAGAGGAAGGCCCTAAAAATTATCAAAGACTCCAGCCACCCTAGTCATAGACTGTTCTCTCTGCTACCGCACAGCAAGCGGTACCGGAGCGCCAAGTCTAGGTCCAAAAGGCTTCTTAACAGCTTCTACCCCCAAGCCATAAGACTCCTGAACAGCTAATCATGGCTACCCTGACTATTTGCATTGCCTCCCCCCACCCACCCCACCTCAAACCACTCTTTTACGCTGCTGCTACTCTGTTTATTTTTTATGCATAGTCACATTAACTCTACCCACATGTACATATTACCTCAATTACCTCGACTAACCGGTGCCCCCGCACATTGATTCTGTACCGGTACCCCCTGTATATAACCTCCCTACTGTTATTTTATTATACTGCTGCTCTTTAATTATTTGCTATTTAAAAATGTTCTTAAACTGCATTGTTAGTTATGGGCTTGTAAGTAAGCATTTCACTGTAATGTTTACACCTGTTGTATTCGGCGCATGTGGCAAATACAATTTGATTTGATGTGCAACGCATTAGCCCTTGATCATGACTCTCTGTTCCATTACATTACAAATACGAGTCATTGGACGAAGGCGTCTTCTGTACGAGGGTAGTTTGTTAAGAGCGGTGATGCTCGGTCTGAATATTAACACGCATCGTTTGCGGTACGGTTTTGGAAGCATAAGGACCTTATCTTTCATATAAAAAATAAAGGTTACATTGATATACACCTTTATAGGGTTAGTGTTCCCACACAGCCATTTATTCATCTTACAGCGCTTGTTTACGGAAAACAGATGGAATGACGGGTGACCACCTGTGCAAATTAGCTATCTAGCGTGCTCCTGTGTGTAAGCCTAACTCAGGAAGTGTAGCAGAAGTGTAGTTTCATCAGAAGGAGGCACCCATAGCTGTATGGATCAGTGCAAACCTGCTACAGTAAGTGCATCTTTTATTTGAAGGATTCTATCTCGCTGATGAAAGATAAGGACCATATGTTTCGAAAGCCGAATTGCAAGTGATGATTATTGACGTTTCTAAACGTAAAACACAGCGTCGGGATCGTAGTTCACATGAGCCAGTCGTGGGCGAAGCGGAGGGACAGTTTAGGTCAAAAAACTGTCTGTGTTGATGTGCATTCCCGGTAATACACTCGTGTCCCCCGTGGACTGGCTCGTACATAAAGCATCCTTCATTCGTTGGCAAAGCTGAGGGCTGAAAACTGTAGGGAGAAGGCAGAATGCTGACTAGAGTTTTTCGAGAACTAGATGTGCATGCCCAGTAATACACTCATGGACCGGCTCGTACATAAAGCATCGTCCATTCAGACGTAATTTCCATTCTTAACTAGTTTTAATGGCGAGAAGGCGGAAAACTCTAGGCAGCATTCTGCCTTCTCCCTACAGTTTTCAGCCCTCAGCTTTGCCAACGAATGAAGGATGCTTTATGTACGAGCCAGTCCACGGGGGACACGAGTGTATTACCGGGAATGCACATCAACACAGACAGTTTTTTGACCTAAACTGTCACCTTTTTGTCTGTAGAGTGAACTGTCTTTGATTTCTAGCTCATGTGTTTTCTTTACATTGATAAATGGGTTACATTGTTTTAAAACTGTTTCTGTGTGTGCGTGTGTCTGTTCTTCAGGCAGGGGGCAGCAGCGGTCTGCTCATGGACCTGGCAGCAAATGAGAAAGCAGTGCACTCAGACTTCTTCAACGGTCAGACAGACACACAAATAACACATACAGTGGGGTAAAAAAGTATTTAGTCAGCCACCAATTGTGCAAGTTCTCCCACTTAAAAAGATGAGAAAGGCCTATAATGTTCATCATAGGTACACGTCAACTATGACAGACAAAATGAGATTTTTTTTCTCCAGAAAATCACATTGTAGGATTTTTAATGAATTTAATTGCAAATTATGGTGGAAAATAAGTATTTGGTCAATAAAAAAAGTTTCTCAATACTTTGTTATATACCCTTTGTTGGCAATGACACAGGTCAAACGTTTTCTGTAAGTCTTCACAAGGTTTTCACACACTGTTGCTGGTATTTTGGCCCATTCCTCCATGCAGATCTCCTCTAGAGCAGTGATGTTTTGGGGCTGTCGCTGGGCAACACAGACTTTAAACTCTCTCCAAAGATTTTCTATGGGGTTGAGATCTGGAGACTGGCTAGGCCACTCCAGGTCCTTGAAATGCTTCTTACGAAGCCACTCCTTCGTTGCCCGGGCGGTGTGTTTGGGATCATTGTCATGCTGAAAGACCCAGCCACGTTTCATCTTCAATGCCCTTGCTGATGGAAGGAGGTTTTCACTCAAAATCTCACGATACATGGCCCCATTCATTCTTTCCTTTACACGGATCAGTCGTCCTGGTCCCTTTGCAGAAAAACAGCCCCAAAGCATGATGTTTCCACCCCCATGCTTCACAGTAGGTATGGTGTTCTTTGGATGCAACTCAGCATTATTTGTCCTCCAAACACGGCGAGTTGAGTTTTTACCAAAAAGTTATATTTTGGTTTCATCTGACCATATGACATTCTCCCAATCCTCTTCTGGATCATCCAAATGCACTCTAGCAAACTTCAGACGGGCCTGGACATGTACTGGCTTAAGCAGGGGGACACGTCTGGCACTGCAGGATTTGAGTCCCTGGCGGCGTAGTGTGTTACTGATGGTAGGCTTTGTTACTTTGGTCCCAGCTCTCTGCAGGTCATTCACTAGGTCCCCCCGTGTGGTTCTGGGATTTTTGCTCACCGTTCTTGTGATCATTTTGACCCCACGGGTGAGATCTTGCGTGGAGCCCCAGATCGAGGGAGATTATCAGTGGTCTTGTATGTCTTCCATTTCCTAATAATTGCTCCCACAGTTGATTTCTTCAAACCAAGCTGCTTACCTATTGCAGATTCAGTCTTCCCAGCCTGGTGCAGGTCTACAATTTTGTTTCTGGTGTCCTTTGACAGCTCTTTGGTCTTGGCCATAGTGGAGTTTGGAGTGTGACTGTTTGAGGTTGTGGACAGGTGTCTTTTATACTGATAACAAGTTCAAACAGGTGCCATTAATACAGGTAACGAGTGGAGGACAGAGGAGCCTCTTAAAGAAGAAGTTACAGGTCTGTGAGAGCCAGAAATCTTGCTTGTTTGTAGGTGACCAAATACATATTTTCCACCATAATTTGCAAATAAATTCATTAAAAATCCTACAATGTGATTTTCTGGATTTTTTGAGGTTGTGGACAGGTGTCTTTTATACTGATAAGTTCAAACAGGTGCCATTAATACAGGTAACGAGTGGAGGACAGAGGAGCCTCTTAAAGAAGAAGTTACAGGTCTGTGAGAGCCAGAAATCTTGCTTGTTTGTAGGTGACCAAATACTTATTTTCCACCATAATTTGCAAATAAATTCATTAAAAATCCTACAATGTGATTTTCTGGATTTTTTTTCCTCAATTTGTCTGTCATAGTTGACATGTACCTATGATGCAAATTACAGGCCTCTCTCATCTTTTTAAGTGGGAGAACTTGCACAATTGGTGGCTGACTAAATACTTTTTTCCCCCACTGTATATACAGTGAGCACCATAGTTCATTGGACAGTGACCTTTTTTTGTGTTATTTTGGTTCTGTACTCTAGCACTTTGAGTTTGAAAGGATACAATGACAATGCGGGTGAAGTGCAGATTGTCAGCTTTAATTTGAGGGTATTTTCATACATATTGGATGAACCGTTTAGAAATGACAATTTTAAGGTACTACAAGTATTTGTTAAATTGGCTTCGCAGATGTGTGTCGTTAGGCAGGTGTATTCATTTGTGTCGTTAGTGAATGCAGGAAAGCGGTTGATGAATAGTATTGATTCTAGACTTTGCTATTGCCTTTGGAGGTTGTTGTTGGGGTGTGACAACATGAGGAAGACAGCAGTGTCGATGCAAATGAAGCTGGCCGTCATAAGGCTCAGAAATGAAAATCAATCAATCAGGAACATTGCAAAAACCCTGGCCATGCCCAAGTCAACAGTTTGGTTCATCATTAACAAGAAAAAAACTACCGGTGAACTCAACTACAGGAGGCTCTCCTGTAGCTCAGTTGGTAGAGCATGGCGCTTGCAACGCCAGGGTTGTGGGTTCGATTCCCACAGGGGGCCAGTATGAAAAATGTATGCACTCACTAACTGTAAGTCGCTCTGGATAAGAGCGTCTGCTAAATGACTGAAATGTAAAATGTAAATGTAATGTCAAAAGACCCGGTAGACCGAGGAAGACCACTGTAGTGGATGACCGGAGAATACTCTCTATGGTGAAGAAAACCCCCCTGACAACAGCCCAACAGATCATAAACACTCTCCTGGATGCAGGTGTAGATGTGTCAAAGTCTACCATACGTAGAAGACTACACCAGCAGGACTACAGAGGGTACACTACAAGATGCAAACCACTGATAAGCCTGAAGAACAGAAAGGCGAGATTACAGTTTGCTAAAAAGCACCTAAAAGAGCCCCAAGAGTTCTGGAAAAAAGTATTGTGGACAGATGAGACAAAGATTAACACGTACCAGAGTGATGGAAAGAGGAAAGTGTGGAGAAAAAAAAAAGAAATGCCCATGATCCAAAGCATACCACCTCATCCGTGAAACATGGTGGAGGGGGTGTTAAGGCTTGGGCCTGTATGGCTGCCAGTGGAACAGGTTCTCTTGTCTTCATCGATGATGTGACTGCAGACAGAAGTAGAACAATGAATTCTGAAGTCTACAGAAATATTTTATCTGCTCAGATAAAACCAAATGCCTCCAAACTCATTGGACGGCACTTCATCATGCAACAAGACAATGACCCTAAACATACTGCTAGAGCAACGAAGGGGTTTTTGATGGCCAAAAAGTGGAAAATCCTTGACTGGCCGAGTCAATCACCGGATCTGAATCCAATTGAACATGCATTTTACATGCTGAAGAGGAGACTGAAGGCAATAAGTCTCCGAAACAAGCAGGAACTGAAGATGGCTGCAGTACAGGCCTGGCAGAGCATCACCAGGGAAGATACCCAGCGTCTGGTGATGTCGATGCATGCAAAGGATATGCGACCAAATATTAACAATGATTACTTTATTCTACATTATGTTAAACTGTCCAATGTTTTTTGATTCCCGAAAATGGGGGGGGGGGACCATGTACAAAAGCTTCTATAATTTCTAAACGGTTCATCCAATATGTATGAAAATACCCTCAAATTAAAGCTGACAGTCTGCACTTCACCCTCATTGTCATTGTATCCTTTCAAACTCAAAGTGCTAGAGTACAGAACCAAAATAACAAAGAAATGGTCACTGTCCAATGAATTATGGTGCTCACTGTATATCACACACACATACGGTAGAGGATAGGCGGGCTGGAGGCTAGACTAGAGCAGTGTTTCTCAAACCTATCCTTGAGTACCCCATTTCACTTATTTGTTATATTCCAGTACTAGCATGATTTAAACTAATCGAGTGCTGATGAGTAGTTGACCAGTTGAATCAGGTGTGCTGGTGCTGGAATAGATAAAATAAGTGGAATGGTTGGGGGAAACACTGGGCTGGACTGGGTAGAGAAGGATCTAGGGGGCTAGGGAGGGTGTTCTGTGTGTGTTTGCTTTGCCAACAGGGCCGTCTCACAGAAACTAACATGTCTTTTCCCTGTAAACCTCAATTTACAACACACACCACACGATGTAGCTAATGTGTTTTCCATCTGGCAGTGTTAGCCACAGGACAAACAGTTTATGGCTCAGCAACACATGACCTAGAAACTGATCATTAAAAAGAGGAGAGGAGAGGAGAGAAGGAATAGTTAAAGGGATACTTTGGGATTTTGGCAAACGAGGCCCTTTATCTACATCCCCAGAGTCAGATGAACTTGTGGATACCATTTTTATGTCTCTGCGTGCAGATTGAAGGAAGTTGCTATTAGCGCTAGCGCAATTGCTAACTAGCATGTTAACATATACCCATAGACTTGTATTCATTGTGCTAACACTAGTTAGCATTGGCTCGCAAAACTACCTCTAACTTTCTTCATACTGTATACAGAGACATAAAAATGGTATCCACGAGTTCATCCGACTCTGGGGAAGTATCCCTTTAACTATTCCTTCTCTCCTCTCCTCTCCTCTCCTCTTTATATACTGTATACAGAGACATATCCCAAAGTATCCCTTTAACTATTCCTTCTCTTCCTCCCCTCTCCTCTCTATATACTGTATACAGAGACATATCCCAAAGTATCCCTTTAAAGGGAGATGTAAAAGGTAGTACTAGGCAAAGGAGGAGGAGAGGAGAGGAGAGGGGGAGTAGAGAGAAGAGGAGAGGAGAGGGGGAGTAGAGAGAAGAGGAGAGGAGAGGGGCCTTGAGAAGAGGAGAGGGAGGGGAGGAGAGCTCTCCAGGTCGCTCTTGCTTAGGGCGTCCAAGGATTGGAGTGAACTCCTCAGGCGGTTCTCTCCCGGCCTTCTCCGCATTGAATCCCCTTCTCTTCTCTCTGCTCAGCGTTCAAGGATTCTCTCTTTTCGGAGGTCTCGCGACCGGTCAGCTCGGGGGAGTAGGAAAAGGAGGAGAGGAGAGGGGGGCTGGATGATTTAAGTTGGTTTATGGTTCCTGTTAGACTGAAACTCAGCAGGACACCTAGCCAGCCTGCCGCTTTGAACACACAAACACACTCACACACACCACGTATCACACAGGCACTCACGCACACCCAGCAGAAAAACACATTCCCCTGTGTTTCTGTGGTGTCAGTGATTTTGCCTTTGAGTGGTTGTAGTTCCCGTAAAGCAGCAATCACAGTTGTTAACACCAAACCTCTCCTATCCTTAGGGAACCTAAAGTCCTGAGGCATTACACACCCAATACTGACCTACAGTACTACTGCATGACCTGTTATGAATCGTACTACATACTGGACTACTATTTTAGGATGTTTTCAAACTTCAGCATGCATATACTGTATCATGTCACTCAGCAGATAGGAGCTGTCAATCAAATCAGAAACTCACTGATGTGTTCTCTCTGTCTCTTCCCCATCTGTGTCTCTCTCGGTCTCTCTCTCTCTCTCGGTCTTTCCCTCTCTCTCTCGGTCTGTCTCTCTCTCTCTCTCTCTCTCTCTCTGTCTTTCCCTCTGTCTATCTGTCTGTCTGTCTACCTGTCTCTCTCTCTCTCAGACTTTGAGGATCTGTTTGATGAGGAGGACCTGCAGTGAATGAGGAAGACCCTATATACCCATGATCACCTGTGTGTGTGTGTGTTGTGTGTTTTGTGTGTGTGTGTGTGTGAGAGAGACATTACAATCGTAAGAACTGTGAAACCAGAACCATTTTCATGGTGGAAGTGCTTTTGAAGAACCCCACCTCATTTCCACTGTGTTTGTTAAATAAAGCCTTTTCTAAAAAGCAGGTGTATGTGAATTCTGTGGATCCCATGCATTCCATAGATGGGCTAAATTATCAGTGTGGGTTTTGAGCCGTCATGTTTCAATGTGCTGCGGCAGGCAGGCAGGTCTGTAGGCGCTGAGAAACTCCTGTTAGTGAAGAAATAATTACATATGCCATAACATCACATGCTCACACATACCTATAATATTTATATACAACATCCCCAGCTAACACGACCACTACACAGATGGCTATTGTACAGCAACACTACAAATCATGTAGAGCAGTGGTATTCAAAGTCGGGGTCACGGGGAACTGCAGTAGGGTTGCCAAAATGTATATATATATACACACAGTGCCTTCGGAAAGTACTCAGACCCCTAGACTTTTTCCACATTTTGTTATGTTACAGCCTTATTCTGAAATTGATTAAATTAAAAATGTTCCTCATCAATCTACCCACAATACCCCATAATGACAAAGTGAAAACAGGTTTTAATTTTTTTTGGCACATTTATGAAAATAAAAAACAGAAATACCTTATTTACATAAGTATTCAGACCCTTTGCAATGAGACTCGAAATTGAGCACAGGTGCATCCTGTTTCTATTGATCATCCTTGAGATGTTTCCACAACTTGATTGGAGTCCACCTGTGGTAAATTCAATTGATTGGACATGATTTGGAAAGGCACACACACCTGTCTATAGAAGGTCCCGCAGTTGACAGTGCATGTCAGAGCAAAAACCAAGCCATGAGGTCGAAGGAATTGTCCGTAGAGCTCCGAGACAGGATTGTGTCGAGGCAGTAGGGTACCAAAAAATTCGGCAACATTGAAGGTCCCGAAGAATACAGTGGCCTCCATCATTCTTAAATGGAAGAAGTTTGGAACCACCAAGACACTTCCTAGAGCTGGCCGCCCGGCCAAACTGAGCAATCGGGGGAGAAGGGCCTTGGTCAGGGAGGTGACCAAGAACCCGATGGTCACTCTGACAGAGCTCTAGAGTTCCTCTGTGGAGATGGGAGAACTTTCCAGAAGGACAACCATCTCTGCAGCACTCCACCAATCAGGCTTTATGGTAGAGCGCCAGACAGAAGCCACATGACAGCCCACTTGGAGTGTATATATATTTTTTGTTGGTATTTTACTCCAATTTTTGTGGTATCCAATTGGTAGTTACAGTCTTGTCCCATCGCTGCAACTCCCGTACGGACACGGGAGAGGCGAAGGTCGAGAGTCGCGCGTCCTCCGAAACACAACCCAACCGAGCCGCACTGCTTATTGACACAGTGCCCGCTTCACCCTGAGGCCAGCCGCACCAATGTGTCGGAGGAAACACCGTACACCTGGCGTCCGAGTCAGCGTGCACTGCGGCCGGCCCGCCACAGGAGTCGCTAGTGCGCGATGGGACAAGAACATCCCTGCCGGCCAAACCCTACCCTACCCTACCCTGGGCCAATTGTGTGCCGCCCCATGGGTCTCCCGGTCGCGGCTGGCTGCGACAGAGCCTGGACTCGAACCAGGATCTCTAGTGGCACAGCTAGCACTGCGATGCAGTGCCTTAGACCACTGCTCCACTCGGGAGGCCTAGCCCACTTGGCAGCATCATGCTGTGGGGATGTTTTTCAGCGGCAGGGACTGGGAGACTAGTCAGGATCGAGAGAAAGATGAACAGAGCAGAGTACAGAGAGATCCTTGATGAAAACCTGCGCCAGAGCACTCAGGACCTCAGACTAGGGCGAAGGTTCACCTTCCAACAGGACAACGACCCTAAGCACACAGCCAAGACAATGCAGGAGTGGCTTCAGAACAAGTCTCTGAATGTCCTTGAGTGGCCCAGCCAGACCCAGGACTTGAACCCGATCGAACATCTCTGGAGAGACCTGAAAATAGCTGTGCAGTGACGCTCCCCATCCAACCTGACAGAGCTTGAGAGGATCTGCAGAGAAGAATGGGAGAAATTCCCCAAATACAGCTGTGCCAAGCTTGTAGGTTCATACCCAAGAAGACTCAAGGCTGTAATCGCTGCCAAAAGTACTTCAACAAAGTACTGAGTAAAGGGTCTGAATACTTATGTAAATGTGATATTTCCGTTTTTTATTTTTAATACATTTGCAAAAATGTCTAAAAACCAGTTTTCGCTTTGTCATTATGGGGTATTGTGTGTAGATTGATGAGGGGGAAAAAAACAATTTAATCCATTTTAGAATAAGGCTGTAATGTAACAAAGTGGAAAAAGTGAAGGGGTCTGAATACTTTCCAAATGCTCTGTGTGTGTGTGTATATATACTGTATATTTTTTTTGGGGGGGGGGACAAAACATTTAGAGTACAGATTATTGTATGGGACAATAAACGATTTTGAGAAAGATAATTAGAAAAATAAAATGTTAATGTATTTATTGGTTTATTTTCATTTTCATAATAGATGAAAATGCATTGAATTGAAGGTTATTTGTTGATGTAAAAATAAAGATTTACCGATTTTAAGGTTGTGATTTAGATTTGGAGTGGGATAGGGTTACAAGATATTCTTGGGGAAAAAATGGGGTCCCCAGATATTCTGGTGGAAAAATGGGGTCCCCACTGAAAAAGTTTTAATACCACTGATGTAGAGGGTGGTATAAAGGCCATTCGTAATCCAATTCCAAATTTGCCTTGAGGCCACAGGTATCTGATGTCGCAGTCAGACGAGCTTCCAAAGCAACCACAGAACAGGGAATCCATAGCTCCGATAGTGAAAAAACATTTCATTTCCAAACAAAAGGTAATTTCATAGGCTATATTCCATCGATGATCAAAGTCAAAGCGATCAGATTTAAACTGTAGACAAAAGGTATAGACTAGTAGCAGCTTTCTTAGTTCTAAGTCTTGGCATAGCGGTCAAAAAACTGTAAGTTACCGCCATACCTGAGGCCTAGTAGACCCATACTGCTAAAAACCTAAATAGCTAATGGGAAGGGGAACATGGGGAAAAAAGGGATGTGCCCAGGAAAGGCTCCATAATGCTTTTAAATACCCATAATAACCATAATAGAAAAACCAAAAACAGGAGTTCATCAACCATACTCCATAATTCATAATGAAATATTTATACTTATAATCAATAATACAATTATTCTAAATGGCGAAAACAATCAATAAATAAAGAAAATGGTAATTTGGCTCCAACAGGTGGCAAAATAGTTTTCACATTTGGCAAAGGGTGTATTCATTACTGCACAGTGTAGCAAAATGTTTCACAGCAGAACACGATTTCATATTGGATAAGTTCAGGTAGTCACTCCCCATTTCAGCCTGTTAGCTTCAGTTTTGTTCCTAGTGAATACGACCCTGATGTAAGGATCTTTGTTATAATGTATACTATTATTATACCAATATTGACCACTACTGAGAAAGGCGCTGAACACACAGGGATTTTGTATCTGTAAATGTTTTTTCATAAAGTTCATAAGTTGCCGGATAACAAAGAGGAGAGCTATCTGTGATATTTCTACAACTTTCTCCATCGTTTTACATACATAAGTTGAAACTGAAATCAAAAGCCACTGTAAGCAAGTAGGACCTGTGTGTGTGTGTGTGTGTGTGTGTTGGTCTCTGTAGCGATAGTTCGATCTTGGCCTTGGGATTGAACAGCTCTTCAGTGTCCGGATTCTGTCCCTCTGGAGCCGCACTCACACACATCTACGCCTGTGGTATTCGGCGCATGTGACAAATAAAAATGTATTAGTTTAGCATTAATGTTTGTGTGTGTAAACCCTCTGTAACAGGGCAGATGTGTCTGAACTGTAGAACTAAGGAGGAAACTGTAGATTATGAAATTCCTGTTGGTTAGACCAGCTGTCAGTGTGTGTGCCAACAGGGCTGTCTAACAGTAGCTAACAGGCAGGGTTTTGGCCCTTCCAAAATGGGGTTCTGGGAAGTGCTTATGTGGCACCTTTACCCCCCTTCCCCCTTCATTATTTCCTCTGTTTTACCATGTTGCGCTCTCTCTCTCTCTCTCTCTCTCTCTCTCTCTCTCTCTCTCTCCTCCTCTACTCCCACCTCTCCCTGTTCTCTCCTGTTCTCTCCTCTATCTCTCTGTCTCCTCATCTTCTCTTTACCCTCTTTTCTATCTGTCTCTCCTCTCCCTCTCTGGAACGTCCTCGTCTCTCTCCGGTCTCTGTCTCCTCCTCGTCCTACGTCCCTCTGCTCTCTCTGTCTTGTCTATCCTCTCTTCCTCTCTATGCTTGTCTGTTGTGTCTCTGTTCTGTTTCTCTCTCGCTGTTCTTCTCTGCTCTGTCTGTCTCTCGCTCTGCTCTTCTCTCTCTGTCTCTCTCTCCTCTCCTCTCTCTCTCTCTCTCTCTCTCTCTCTCCTCTCTCTCTCTCTCTCTCTCTCTCTCTCTCTCTCTCTCTCTCTCTCTCTCTCCTCTGTCTCTCCCTCTGTCTCTCTGTCTCTCTCCCTCTGTCTGTCTCTCTCTCTCTGTCTCACTCTCTCTCTCCCTCTGTCTCTGTCTCTCCCTCAGTCTGTCTGTCTGTCTGTCTGTCTGTCTCTCTCTCTCTGTCTCACTCTCGCTGTCATCTGCTTCTTTCTCTCTCACTGTAATCACGTAGTCTCTGATTGGTGAGGTGGCTGAGCGGACAGCAGCCAATAGCAGCTCTGGTAGCAATGCCCCTCGATCCTCTGGGAAGGTGTGTGTGTACGTGTGTGTGTGTTAATGATTAGGGGTCCGTTTAAAACCAGACGGAACCATTTGTGGGGACACAGTCTGTCAGTAGGGCCAGAGGGACAGGGTGCGCCAGGAGACTCACACACTTGAACATCCAGCCTCTGAACCGAACCGGGCCAGGCAGCTTCGTCTGATACAGCCTCTGTTCAAGATCCAACAGAGAAAATCAACTACACACACTACAGGTAAGACAACAACAGGGGTTCAAGGGATCGGTTGTTTGGTGACACCTTAAATATTACATATTGATCAAAACTGACATGATGTCTGTTAGGTTGGTGAGTCCATCTCTTCAGTATGAGATTAGATGGTTCTGATCAACAGAGAGATGGGGACCTAGGTCAGGATTAAGTTCAGTTCGAGGTTGGGTTTAAGTCCAGTTTAAAGTCAAGGTTAGAAGGTTTAAGTGCTCTGCCTCTGAAACACCTGTAGCCTGTGTAGGAGAGTCAACCAGCAGAGCAGCCTAAACCCCTGCAGACAGAACACCCTCTGAGGCTGCAGTTTAGACGGGTGGAAGCAGACCCACTGGTGGGTGATGGATGTAGCCTGGAGACATTGTCTTGCTTGCCACAAGAAAAAATAAAACATCTAAAGAGTGATTTAGCCTGACCAGTGCACTGGGTAAAGGCAGCACTTTATTTGACAGTAAGTCGTTTTTACAGTGGTATTTACACGGTTTTTACCTGAAATTGTCTATAGGAGCGGTGGAGGCCATGGCTGGAGGGAGGAGAGCATCGTTCTCCGGTGTGCTCACTGTTTCTCTGCTAGCTACCATACTGCTGCCTGGTGAGTCACATGCATGCATGCACCATCAATCAAACAAAGAGGTTAAGGTCAGGATGGATGAAGGACTTTGTGATGGATGGAGTTTGTGATGGATGGAGGACTTTGTGATGGCTGGGGTCCTGTGTGGCTCAGTTGGTAGAGCATGGTGCTTGCAACGCCAGGGTTGTGGGTTCGATTCGCACCGGGGACCAGTATGGGGGGAAAGTACGAAAATGTATGAACTCACTAATGTAAATCGCTTTGGATAAGAGCGTCTGCTACATGACTTAAATGTGAATATTGATTCTCGACCTCGCCTGTCTGCCTCTGATAAGGACCTGTTATTATAACATGAAGTAATTTATGTAACTGCCTTAGAGCAACTGCCTCCAACCCAGGTGTTTCTGGTTATGTGTTGACATGATTGACAGTTCCCCTCAGGGGTACTCTTTACTGAATCTCCTATTTCCTCTAAAACTGTCTCTCAAACAGACCCATAATCCTAACCTTAACTAACCCGTCATGTATTTACAAGGAGGGAGGGAGAGGAGAGGAGAGGGAGGGAATTTGGGTGTGTTCTTTCAGCGTTACAACTCTTGTAAAAGCTTATTACCTGTCAGCATCAGAGTCCCGCTCTCTCCTTGCTCCTGCACCCCCTCCCCTCCATCCTGTAAAGACTGTTTTCCAGATGTTCCAGTCTTTTACTGGCTCCTTAAATATAATACAGCAGATACATTGAGACAGCAACATTTACCCCAACACCACACAGACCTCCCTCCCTCCATCCATCCATCTATCTCTTTCTTCCCTCTTCTCTCTCTTCTCTTTCTCGCTCCCTCTCTTTTCCCCCTTCTCTATCGCTCTCTCTCTCTCTACCTCCATCCCTCTCTGTCCTTCCCTCTGAAAACTGTTCACACCTTTTCCCTGTGGAGATGAAAGAGCAAGCATGCAGAGCTGTGTACTGTTTCCTACACACACACACACATACACACACAGTCTTGTACAGCTAACCTTGTGGACACACACAATTCAGTCACATTCAAAATCCTATTTTCCCTAAACCTAACCCTAACCCGTACTCTTACCCTAACCCAAAAACCTAACCCTAAACCTAACCCTAGCTCCTTACCCTAAAACGAACCCTAGCTCCTACCTCTAACCCTAAACCTAATTCTAACCCTAACACTAATTCTAACCTTAACCCTAAACCCCCTAGAAATAGCATTTTACCTTGTGGGGACTAACAAAATGTCCCCAGTTGGTCAAATTTTTGTTTGTTTTCTATTCTTGTGGGGACTTCACACACACACACACACACACACACACACACACACACACACACACACACACACACACACACACACACACACACACACACACACACACACACACACACACACACACACACACACACACACACACACACACACACACACACACACACACACACACACACACACACACACAGCTCTGTGAGGTAGCTGGCCCAGTAGGGGTCCACTGTTACTGGCTCACCTATAAAATCTACAAAGAGCCGTAGTCACCGAACCTCCAGGCAAGGCACTGGCAATTACCCTTGCTCTGTAAACCTGTGTGTGTGCGTTTAATCGCACAAATTTCCACACAGTGTGTTATTAGTGTATGTAAGCGTTTTGGGGGTCTGCAGCTGACACTGGCAACATCTGGCTCTGACTGTGTGTGTGTTGTTTGTGTTCTCAGAATTCCTGTTGGCGGGGCCGGTGGTTCAGAAGCTCAAAGGAGATGGTAAATATGTGACTACCTAACAAACACACTTTACATACACAACAATGTTTGATGCTTGATGTCTCGCCAGTAGGGGATGCCACTGAGGAGACAGCGGTTGCCATGGCGTTGCCAAGGAGGCTTGTCCGTAACCGTAGAAACATCAGCTGGTACAAGCAACACTCAGACTTCTGGAGCTGGTACAAATACTTCACCGACAATGGAAACACGGAGGCAGTGAGTACACTCGGAGGAGTTTGGGGGGTTATCTGTGCATGGTCCCAAACCTGGTCCCAAGAGGCCAACACTAACTAACCACCGACCTTCAGAGTTGAGTATCATCTACTTAGAGAATAAAAGGGATATTATGTTTGAGAATGACATGGGAACCTAGGGGAACACCGCAGGTATCTCTCTTCATGTTCTTGCTTATTTCCTGGCTTTTGCTTTCATCTTTATGAACCTCGTATATACCTGGTCCTTTTCTTTAATACCTCATACCTCTAACCTCATATACCTCTATCCTCATATACCTCTATCCTCATATATCTCTAACCTCATATACCTCTAACCTCATATACCTCTAACCTCATATACCTCTATCCTCATATACCTCTATCCTCATATACCTCTATCCTCATATATCTCTAACCTCATATACCTCTAACCTCATATACCTCTAACCTCATATACCTCTAACCTCATATACCTCTAACCTCATATACCTCTCCATCCCCATTACTCTTTTTTTCTTTCTCTCCTCCCCCCCCCCAGGTCCAGGAGCTGGACAGGGTCTACCTGGCCTACCTCCAGAATAAGAACCGTGCTGAGGGCCGTCGCTCCTACAAGGCCTACCTGGGCCACCTAGGGGACATCTACAAGGCCTGCGCTGACTCAGAGGACCCAAACTGTGTGGCCTCTGCAACCAACCGGCCCAAACCTGAACCCAAGACCCCTCCCAAGCCCATCCCCGTACCTGTCAAGGCTTGTGACCCCTATAGGTTAGTCATGTTAATTTATATCTGTGTTAAATCATTTTATGCTCATGAAATGAATCTAATCTCATCTCTTGTGTAGGGACCCGTATTGTCTCTATGCTGCCATGGCACATGCCAAGAGCCAGCCTCCACCTGCCCCCGCCCCGGTCAAGGCGCCAGCCCCCCTGTATGCACGTTCCCCTGTGGCTGTTAAAGACCCTCATTCTGGGTACTACTACTACTCCCCTGCCGTGCAGTCCTTCCTCTCCAAGGTACAGTATTACTACACCAGTACTGCTACTACTGTATTACTACACCAGTACTGCTACTACTGTATTACTACACCAGTACTGCTACTACTGTATTACTACACCAGTACTGCTACTACTGTATTAGTACACCAGTACTTCTACTACTGTATTACTACACCAGTACCTCTACTACTGTATTAGTACACCAGTACTGCTACTACTGTATTACTACACCAGTACTTCTACTACTGTATTACTACACCAGTACTGCTACTACTGTATTACTACACCAGTACTGCTACTATTGTATTACTACACCAGTACTGCTACTACTGTATTACTACACCACTACTACTACTACTGTATTACTACACCAGTACTTCTACTACTGTATTACTACACCAGTACTGCTACTACTGTATTACTACACCAGTACTGCTACTACTGTATTAGTACACCAGTACTTCTACTACTGTATTACTACACCAGTACCTCTACTACTGTATTAGTACACCAGTACTGCTACTACTGTATTACTACACCAGTACTTCTACTACTGTATTAGTACACCAGTACTGCTACTACTGTATTACTACACCAGTACTGCTACTACTGTATTACTACACCAGTACTTCTACTACTGTATTAGTACACCAGTACTGCTACTACTGTATTACTACACCAGTACTGCTACTACTGTATTACTACACCAGTACTTCTACTACTGTATTAGTACACCAGTACTTCTACTACTGTATTACTACACCAGTACTTCTACTACTGTATTACTACACCAGTACTGATACTACTGTATTACTACACCAGTACTTCTACTACTGTATTAGTACACCAGTACTTCTACTACTGTATTACTACACCAGTACTTCTACTACTGTATTACTACACCAGCACTGCTACTACTGTATTACTACACCAGTACTGCTACTACTGTATTACTACACCAGTACTGCTACTACTGTATTACTACACCAGTACTGCTACTACTGTATTACTACACCAGTACTGCTACTACTGTATTACTACACCAGTACAGCTACTACTGTATTACTACACCAGTACTGCTACTACTGTATTACTACACCAGTACTTCTACTACTGTATTACTACACCAGTACTGCTACTACTGTATTACTACACCAGTACTGCTACTACTGTATTACTACACCAATACTGGTTCTACTGTATTACTACACCAGTACTGCTACTACTGTACTGCTGTAAATTAACGTAGTCATTGTTGTTTTTATTCTCATCAAGGAGCAGAAGGCGGAGCTGCTGCGTATCTGTTCAGCGGAGGACGTGGAGTGTCTCCAGTTCCACCTGAGAGCTGCTTTCGGCTACAAGCCATCTGCTGGGCCCCTGCCCTCCTACGCCCACCTGGGCTGTGACCCGAAAGACCCCGGCTGTAAACCCCAGCTGGTCCAGAAAGCCCCCTCTGGCCTCTTCCTCCGTTACCCCAACTGTGACCCCAGAGACCCTCGCTGTGCCTACGCTGCATCGCTACAGGTAAGACTATTATTATTATTATCATTATCATCGTCATTATTATTATGATTATATCATTTTACTATCATGATCATGATTGTCCATCCGTCCCCAGGCACCCCGTGCCCCTGCACCCCCTGCCCCGGCCGGTCCTGGTTCCTGCAACCCTCTGTTTGAAGACGGCTGTAACCCTCTCACCGCCACAAAGTTTGCCACGGCACCGGAGGAGTTCAATGACGAACACAAAGATGAACCCGCCGCAATGCGCGCCGCACCCCCAGCCCCTGAGCAACGCAGTGACCCATTCACTATGTACAGGGATGCTTATGCTAACACTAATGGTAACCGCCAAGCCAGTGCTCCCAGCGATCCAGCTAGTGACCCATACGCCATGTACCGCCAAGCCAGTGTTACCAGCGCTCCAGCTAGCGACCCATATGCCATGTACCGCCAAGCTATTGCTAACGCTCAAGCTAACGACCCAAACACCATGTATAAGCAGGCTAATGCTAATGCTAATACTAACGATCCCTTTGCAATGTTCCGTGAAGCCGCCGCCTCCATGCACAGACGTACCCACCCCTCCCTCCAGCAGCAAGCCCCCGCCCCCCCTCCCCGCTATGAGGAATCCCCCCAGGAGGATCGCCACCCGCTGGGCCCCCGAGGAAAGACCAAGGATGGCTACGAATGCTACATCGGCTACGACCAGGAGTGCTACCCAATAACCAGCGCAGAGCCGCGTTCCGGTTCCCACCGTAACACCGCCTACCCTGCTGAGCCCTACGAGCCGCATCTCAACGCTGATGGATCACGGAACGGAGTCGTGGAGCCTTCCGACCCCAACTGTGACCCGGAGTACGACACCAACTGTCGCCTGCGCCGTTACCAATCCCAGGAGGAGCTGCTACCATACGCCAACGCCCAGGCTGAACACCAGGGGCAGCCAGAGCCCAGCCAGGGCCACAGTTACAGCCAGGGAGAGCCAGAGAGAGACAGCGATTCAGAGTCAGAGCCATACCAGAGTGGCCAGGAGGAGGCCTACGGGGCTTATCCCCCTCCCTCGCAGGGGCTGTCGTACGGGTCCTACCCCTCACCCCAGCGGGGAATGCCCAGCTTCCAGGACATGCTGAGAGGATACGGAGATCAGTACCCTGAACATGACGACCACAGAGCATACGCTGCTGACTACAGCAAAAAATAAATAAATACACACACACTGCATACACAAAGAACACACTACATATGCCATCAAGACTACAACAACAAAAACTAACCAACACACCAGCTTAAACGGGAGCAGATGACGTGGTACACTATTTAATACAAAATAATAATAGAAGACTGATTGAAATCTGACACACACACACACACACACACACACACACACACACAGGCACACGCACACACACAGTAAAGTGCCCTTAGCAGTAGGAGTTTCTCTCCACTAGATGTTTTTAGATGTTTTATCTGGCAGTTTGTTAGCTTTTATTGATTGATTGATTGACAATAATTGACAATTGATTGATCCCCTCCTTATTTAATACATTCTCGCAGCTCCGCTTGGCTTCTGTAGCTACAAACCTCACATGCTTTTTGTGTTTGTTTTGTTCATGTTGTATTATGTAAAAAAAAAAAATCTCAACATTGAATGTTTTAAATAAAAGCTTTGAAAAACATGTATTTTACTCTTTGTGTCCATGATCTCGACCGCTATTGGCCATCAATGGTAATGTTCTCTACTGACGCCTATAGGCTAACAGTGGTAATGTTCGCGACTGACCCCTGTAGGCCAACAGTGGTAGTATGATTTACTGACCCCTGTAGGCCAACAGTGGTAATATGATTTACTGACCCCTGTAGGCCAACAGTTGTAGGCCAACAGTGGTAATATGATTTACTGACCCCTGTAGGCCAACAGTGGTAATATGATTTACATTTACATTTACATTTTAGTCATTTAGCAGACGCTCTTATCCAGAGCGACTTACAGTTAGTGAATGCATACATTTTTTTATTAATTTTTTTCCTACCCCCTGTGGGAATCGAACCCACAACCCTGGCGTTACAAACGCCATGCTCTATCAACTGAGCTACATCCCTGCCGGCCATTCCCTCCCCTACCCTGGACGACGCTGGGCCAATTGCGCGCCGCCCCATGGGTCTCCCGGTCGCGCCGGCTACGACAGAGCCTGGATTCGAACCAGGATCTCTAGTGGCACAGCTAGCACTGCGATGCAGTGCCTTAGACCACTGCGCCACTCGGGAGACATTTACTGACCCCTGTAGGCCAACAGTGGTAATATTATCTACTGACGCCAATAGGCCAACAGTGGTCATCTACTGACCCCTGTAGGCTAACCAACAAGCTCTCATAGTCTCACGTTAGAATTAGACGATGGGAGGGAGGATGGGAGGGAGGGAGGATGGGAGGATGGGAGGGAGGATGGAGAAGGGAGCTGGAGGATGAGAAATGGGGATAGGGCGAGAGATGGAGGATAGGGAGAGATGGAGGATAGGGAGAGAGATGGGGATAGGGGAGAGATGGGATAGGTGAGAGAGATTGGTATAGAGAGATGGTGATGGGAGAGTATATGCGTTTTCTAGGTATGCGAGATTTTGATATGTGGGATATGGTGGCTTAGGAGATGTAGTCTAGGGATGATGGATTTTTGGTTTTTGGTATTGCATTGATAGCTTGTTGTGATTATCTTGTCGGTCTCTTTGTTTTTTTTTATTGTTTTTTGTTTCTGGTGTTTTCTCTATTTCGTCTTTCGTTCATCTTTGTCTTGTCTCTTCTCCTCTCTGTGCTTTTCTTATCGTTCTCTCTTCTCTCTTCTCGCTTGTTCTCTTCTCTCGCTTTCTTCTCTCTCTCTCTCTTTTTCTCTTTCTCTCTCTTCTCTTATGCTTCTCTGCTCTTGTCTCTTTCTTCTCTTTCTCGCTCTCTCTCTTTTCTCTGTTCGGCTCTCTTCTCTCTCTTCTCTCCTTTGCGTGTCTCTTCTCTCTGTCTCTCTCTGCTCTCTTTTTTCTCTTTCTCTCTCTTTCTTCTCTTTCTCTCTCATGCCTCTTGCTCTCTTTTCGCTCTCTCTTCCTCTCGCTCTTCGCTTCTCTTTCTCTCTCTGTTCGCTCTCTTCTCTCTCTTTTCTCGTTCTCTCTCTTTTTTCTCGTGCCTCTCTGGTTCTGCTCTTTCTTCTCTTTCCGCGTTTTTCTGTCTCTTCGCTCGCTTTTTCCTTTCTCTTCCCCTCTCTCGGTCGCTCTCTTTTTCTCTTTCTGCCTCTTTCCGCTGGGCTCGCGCGCTTTGTCTCTGGCTCGCTCTTGGCTCTTCGCGCCTTTCCTCTGCTCGGTGCTCTTGCCCGTCTGCTGCTGGGGCCGCGCTCTGGCGCGCGCTTGCTTCTGGGCGCCTCGCGTGCCGCCCGGCTCGTCCTCTGGCGCACCTGGGCGCTCGGGCCGCGCTGGGCTCGGGCCGCGCTGGGCTCGGTGTCGCGCTGGGGCTCGGGCGCGCGCTGTGCTCGGCGCGCTCTTGGCTCGTGCCCGCCTGGCGGCTCGGGCGCGCGTTTGGGCTCGCGCGCGCGCTGGGGTGCCTGGGGCGCCCGCCGGGCGCGCCCGGGCTGCCGCTGGCTCGGGCGCCCGCTGGCTGCTCGGCCGCGCTGGGGTTCGGGCGCGCGCTGGGGCTCGGCGCGCTGGGCTCGGCGCGCCTCGTGGGCTCGGGCGCGCTCTGGCTCGGCCCCGCTGTGCTGCTCGGCGCGCGCTGGGTGCTCGCGCGCGCGCTGGCGGTGCCTGGGGCGCCCGCCGGGCTCGCCCGGCTGCGCGCTGGCTCGGGCCGCGCTTGCGTGCCCTGGGGGCCGCCCCGCGTGCGCGCCCCGGGCTGCGCGGGCGCGCGATGGCGGCTCGGGCGCTCCTGGCGGCTGGGGGCGCGCGCTGGGGACCTAGGGCGCGCGCTTGGCGGCTCGGGCGCGCGGCTGGCGGCTCGGGCGCGCCTGGGTCGGGCGCGCGCTGGGGGCCTGGGCCCGTGGCGGCTCGGGCGCGCGCTGGCGGCTCGGGGCCGCGCTGGGGCTCGTGCGCGCGCTGGGCTCGCGCGCGCGCTGGCGGTGCCTGCTGGCGCCCGCCGGGGAGCGCCCGGGCTGCGCGCTTAGCTCGGGCGCGCGCTGGCGGCTCGTGCGCGCCTGGGGCTCGGTCGCGCGCTGGCGGCTCGGGGCGCGCGCTGGGGGTCGGGCCGCGGCTGGCGGCTGCGGGCGCGCGCTGGGGGCTAGGGCGCCGCTGGCGGCTATGCCCGCGCTGCGGTGCTGGGGGCGCCCGCCGGGCGCGCCCCGGGCTGCGCGGGCCGCCGGCCCCCGGGTCTGTGCTGTCCCACTTAGCTTGCTGCTAGGTAGGCGTGGCTGTAGCAGGTTGTCCAATCGGCTGCCAGGTAGGGCACAGCTAAAGAAAGTAGGTAGTCACCGTCGGCGGTTGTTCAATGGGGTGCCAGGTAGACGTGGCTGTGTCAAGAAGCCAGTAAAAGTGGAGTCGTTTTTGATGTCAGCGTAAATTCCAACGTCTTCCTGTGCTGCCCCATACACCTGTAGACAGAGGGATATTAGCTGATAATGAATTAATTACTTAGTGACATGTGACTTGTGGTGATTTTGTCAGAGAAGTAAAAGATCGAATGCTAACGCAAACAAACAATATGTAATATGGGAGACAGGATATTCAGCAGTACCCCTGAAGGGGACAGCAACCGAATCGGAATTCTGGAGTTCAGAACTACACGATTGTGGACAGCGACAGTCTCAGGCGCAGCCACTCCACACTGGGGAGAATCCCTGGGGATAAATAGGAAGTAGCATAGACGCCTGAAAGGGGAAGGTTCCACAGGGGCTCTGTTTGCTAGCCTGGTTCAGCCATATTTACTTTTTAAACCAAAATGTAGAATATAAAATAACTGGGAATGAATAGCAACTAAATTAAAATAGACCTCTCCATTGTTTCTTTGTATCTGTGGCACATGACTCACCTGTAGCCACACCTGGTCTCCAGATGAGAGGTTTAGGACCGCCCCTCTGGAGGACTGGTCCAGGTCAGAGGTCAGGAACTGGTCCAGGGTCAGCGAACAGCACGGCCATTACGGTACAGCCCCACCTTACACACCCGGCCCTAAACAACACACACGTCGTTACGGTACAGCCCCACCTTACACACCCGGCCCTAAACAACACACACGTCGTTACGGTACAGCCCCACCTTACACACCCGGCCCTAAACAACACACACGTCCATTACGGTACAGCCCCGCCTTACACACCCGGCCCTAAACAACACACACGTCGTTACGGTACAGCCCCGCCTTACACACCCGGCCCTAAACAACACACACGTCGTTACGGTACAGCCCCACCTTACACACCCGGCCCTAAACAACACACACGTCGTTACGGTACAGCCCCACCTTACACACCCGGCCCTAAACAACACACACGTCGTTACGGTACAGCCCCACCTTACACACCCGTGCCCTAAACAACACACACGTCGTTACGGTACACAGCCCCCACCTTACACACCCTGCCCTAAACACACATACGTCGTTACGGTACACGCCCCACCTTACACACCCGGCCCTAAACAAACACACACGTCCATTACGGTACAGCCCCGCCTTACACACCCGGCCCTAAACAACACACACGTCGTTACGGTACAGCCCCGCCTTACACACCCGGCCCTAAACAACACACACGTCGTTACGGTACAGCCCCGCCTTACACACCCAGCCCTAAACAACACACACATCGTTACGGTACAGCCCCGCCTTACACACCCGGCCCTAAACAACACACACGTCGTTACGGTACAGCCCCGCCTTACACACCCGCCCTAAACAACACACACGTCGTTACGGTACAGCCCCCGCCTTACACCACCCGGCCCTAAACAACACACACGTCGTTACGGTACAGCCCCGCCTTACACACCCGGCCCTAAACAACACACACGTCGTTACGGTACAGCCCCACCTTACACACCCGGCCCTAAACAACACACATGTCGTTACGGTACAGCCCCACCTTACACACCCGGCCCTAAACAACACACACGTCGTTACGGTACAGCCCCACCTTACACACCCGGCCCTAAACAACACACATATTTTCATACATTTTTATTGTTTGTACTGTTATTATTAAATTTTTTGTATTGTTTGTATATTGTTGTAGTTTAAATTTG